ACATTCTTGGAACTTCACATTAGTAAACAAATGTTCAGCGTATTTTATAAGAAATATTGCAGTTAGCTGATTTTGCACCGTAACGCAATGGTAACACTTTCTATACACTTTGAGATCTATTTTAAAACTAAGGGACACAAAATGCCGATGTTCTTAAGTGAATCATAGTAAATGACGATGTGAGGTCTGTTGCCTCGCTGAGTTAGACACTTGTGCAACATCTGGATATCTTTAATTTATAGAAGTTTCGTCATTCACTGGCTTTATCAATATAATACATGGATATAATGGGAAGACTGTAGAAGTATATATAAAAGACAAAGAAATCAGTTCCTCAGCATAGGATTAGGCGATGAGCACCGTATTTTTGAAGAATCTGAAGTACAGTCAGGAAGATTACCACTTTTATACTGGCATCAGATAAGAAAAGTGCAGCAGACTTAGGTATTGTCACTGGTAGGAGGGATTCCCAACGTGTCTAATTCTTCGTCTATAATAATAATAATAATAATAATAATAATAATAATAATAATAATAATTTCTACAAGTACATGTACAATGTATATAGACGTAGCTGACGTCAGTGATGTACTATATAGCAACCCCTGATTATAAGAACATAAGAACATAAGAATGGAGGAACATGCAGAGTATTTAGGACAAATTAGGTTAATCTTCTTCCCAGGATGCGACCCACACTAGTCAGCTAGCATCTATGTACCTAGTTACAGCTAGGTGAACAGAAACAATAGTTGTCTTAAGGAAACGCATGTTTCCACTCGTACCGGGGATCGAAGCACAAGCTTCAGTGTGTCAGCTGAGGGTTATAGCAACATAGCTACCATTTATATACAACCTCGCCTAGTCAGGGTTGTGCTGGGTAAGCTGACTAACCATACCCCGGCCGGGATTGAACCCACGGTCAGAGAGTCTCAAAACTCCAGACCCGGCAGACAAGAATTACCACAGCAGTTGCTTGTTCGATGAACACAGCTTAAAAGGACAATGGCAACAGGGAGTTGAACGTTGTTACTGTTACTGGTTGACGGCCCACGTAGTCAGGGCATTACGTCAATGTGTTCAGACGCACCTTATAATTACTACGACAACTTTCGCTATAGTTATGTACAATAAATGTGTAGAAGCTAAAACGTTGTGTAGTTTTAAAAATTTATTTTTTTTTTTTTATTATCACACCGGCCGATTCCCACCAAGGCAGGGTGGCCCGAAAAAGAAAAACTTTCACCATCATTCACTCCATCACTGTCTTGCCAGAAGGGTGCTTTACACTACAGTTTTTAAACTGCAACATTAACACCCCTCATTCAGAGTGCAGGCACTGTACTTCCCATCTCCAGGACTCAAGTCCGGCCTGCCGGTTTCCCTGAATCCCTTCATAAATGTTACTTTGCTCACACTCCAACAGCACGTCAAGTATTAAAAACCATTTGTCTCCATTCACTCCTATCAAACACGCTCACGCATGCCTGCTGGAAGCCCAAGCCCCTCGCACACAAAACCTCCTTTACCCCCTCCCTCCAACCCTTCCTAGGCCGACCCCTACCCCGCCTTCCTTCCACTACAGACTGATACACTCTTGAAGTCATTCTGTTTCGCTCCATTCTCTCTACATGTCCGAACCACCTCAACAACCCTTCCTCAGCCCTCTGGACAACATTTTTTGTAATCCGCACCTCCTCCTAACTTCCAAACTACGAATTCTCTGCATTATATTCACACCACACATTGCCCTCAGACATGACATCTCCACTGCCCCCAGCCTTCTCCTCGCTGCAACATTCATCACCCACGCTTCACACCCATATAAGAGCGTTGGTAAAACTATACTCTCATACATTCCCCTCTTTGCCTCCAAGGACAAAGTTCTTTGTCTCCACAGACTCCTAAGTGCACCACTCACTCTTTTTCCCTCATCAATTCTATGATTCACCTCATCTTTCATAGACCCATCCGCTGACACGTTCCACTCCCAAATATCTGAATACGTTCACCTCCTCCATACTCTCTCCCTCCAATCTGATATTCAATCTTTCATCACCTAATCTTTTTGTTATCCTCATAACCTTACTCTTTCCTGTATTCACCTTTAATTTTCTTCTTTTGCACACCCTACCAAATTCATCCACCAATCTCTGCAACTTCTCTTCAGAATCTCCCAAGAGCACAGTGTCATCAGCAAAGAGCAGCTGTGACAACTCCCACTTTGTGTGTGATTCTTCATCTTTTAACTCCACGCCTCTTGCCAAGACCCTCGCATTTACTTCTCTTACAACCCCATCTATAAATATATTAAACAACCACGGTGACATCACACATCCTTGTCTAAGGCCTACTTTTACTGGGAAAAAATTTCCCTCTTTCCTACATACTCTAACTTGAGCCTCACTATCCTCGTAAAAACTCTTCACTGCTTTCAGTAACCTACCTCCTACACCATACACTTGCAACATCTGCCACATTGCCCCCCTATCCACCCTGTCATACGCCTTTTCCAAATCCATAAATGCCACAAAGACCTCTTTAGCCTTATCTAAATACTGTTCACTTATATGTTTCACTGTAAACACCTGGTCCACACACCCCCTACCTTTCCTAAAGCCTCCTTGTTCATCTGCTATCCTATTCTCCGTCTTACTCTTAATTCTTTAAATTATAACTCTACCATACACTTTACCAGGTACACTCAACAGACTTATCCCCCTATAATTTTTGCACTCTCTTTTATCCCCTTTGCCTTTATACAAAGGAACTATGCATGCTCTCTGCCAATCCCTAGGTACCTTACCCTCTTCCATACATTTATTAAATAATTGCACCAACCACTCCAAAACTATATCCCCACCTGCTTTTAACATTTCTATCTTTATCCCATCAATCCCGGCTGCCTTACCCCCTTTCATTTTACCTACTGCCTCACGAACTTCCCCCACACTCACAACTGGCTCTTCCTCACTCCTACAAGATGTTATTCCTCCTTGCCCTATACACGAAATCACAGCTTCCCTATCTTCATCAACATTTAACAATTCCTCAAAATATTCCTTCCATCTTCCCAATACCTCTAACTCTCCATTTAATAACTCTCCTCTCCTATTTTTAACTGACAAATCCATTTGTTCTCTAGGTTTTCTTAACTTGTTAATCTCACTCCAAAACTTTTTCTTATTTTCAACAAAATTTGTTGATAACATCTCACCCACTCTCTCATTTGCTCTCTTTTTACATTGCTCACACTCTCTTAACTTCTCTCTTTTTCTCCATATACTCTTCCCTCTCTTGCATCACTTCTACTTTGTAAAAACTTCTCATATGCTAACTTTTTCTCCCTTACTACTCTCTTTACATCATCATTCCACCAATCGCTCCTCTTCCCTCTGCACCCATTTCTGTAACCACAACTTCTGCTGAACACTCTAACACTACATTTTTAAACCTACCCCATACCTCTTCGACCCCATTGCCTATGCTCTCATTAGCCCATCTATCCTCAATAGCTGTTTATATCTACCCTAAACTGCCTCCTCTTTTAGTTTATAAACCTTTACCTCTCTCTTCCCTGATGCTTCTATTCTCCTTGTAATCCCATCTACCTTTTACTCTCAGTGTAGCTACAACTAGAAAGTGATCTGATATATCTGTGGCCCCTCTATAAACATGTACATCCTGAAGTCTACTCAACAGTCTTTTATCTACCAATACATAATCCAACAAACTACTGTCATTTCGCCCTACATCATATCGTGTATACTTATTTATCCTCTTTTTCTTAAAATATGTATTACCTATAACTAAACCCCTTTCTATACAAAGTTCAATCAAAGGGCTCCCATTATCATTTACACCTGGCACCCCAAACTTACCTACCACACCCTCTCTAAAAGTTTCTCCTACTTTAGCATTCAAGTCCCCTACCACAAAAAATAGGTTAGATAAATACATGAATGGGTGTGGGTGGGCGTGAGTTGGACCTGACTAGCTTGTGCTACGAGGTCAGATGCCGTGCTCCTCTCTTAAGTGGATGTGACCTAACCTGACTAGGTTAGGGCATTGGGTTACACCGGTAGGAGACTTGGACCTACCTCACATGGGCCAGCACGCCAGCTGCAGTGTTCCTTCTTTCTCATGTTCTCATGTAATCTAGGTTATTCAGCCTCCAGAGACTTTCTCAAACAGTATTTCAAAGACGTTTGACGTTCTGGCTGATGGAATGACTGCTACGGTAGGTTCTCTAATCTCTATCTCTAGCAGAGAATATGTTAAAAATCTAGTTAAATGTTGCCAGTAAATGTTCTCTACATAACTTAGTAAATTTTAGCAGTAAAATTTTCTGCATAATTGAGTTAATGTTACCACTGAATGCTTTCTGATAACTCATTGAATGATATCGGTGAATGTTAGCAGTGAATGTTCTCTACATAACATATGAAAGCATTCCGTAGGTGTTATCTGAATAACTGAGTAAAAGTGAATAGTAAATGAGCTAAAAATATGAAGTGCGTGTATGTGTTGAAGAGGACCCCTGAAGCGGGTGGAAGAGGAGGGTCGTAATATATCGATGAATTATCTCCTGAGTTTCTGTCTTCATATGAGTTATTATTAAGCACTGAAGAGTTTATATACTGTAATATTCCAATATATGGAGTGCGAGTGTTGTAAAAATTATCCCTGTCAGTTTGACATCTTTTACATGAAATATTATGTTCTCTAGTTTGTAATTCCTCGTGTGGTTGCAATTGTTATTCTGAAGATTGAGACACTTATGCAACATATCTTCAATAAAGATTCCCATATGTTGCATAAGTGTCTCAATCTTCAACTTATCGATTTTCAAAACCATTTCTCACACTCAATTGTTATTCTACTATGCTTCTAACGTGATTACTATTCTTTCCTCTCAGTACCTATGATAAGTATTATTCTACTAATATTTTTAGGTGTGTACCACAGACAGTAGCTGTAACTAATATTGTGTGTTGCAGAAGGATGGATTCTTCGTGGAGGTTGGCGCCGTTGACGGGGAATACTTAAGTAACTCGTTGTACTTCGAGAGAAATCGGGGCTGGACGGGCCTTCTGATAGAACCTTTTCCAGAAACCTACAAACAACTTTTAAGTAAACAAAGAAAGGCCTACTCAATAAACGCAGCACTTGCCTTGAACAACGTTTCCTCTGATGTTATCTTTACGTAAGAACTTTTGACTTGTTGAAAGCAGAACACATGGCTAGAGTTTTTATAATTTGCACAAACCCTTTTCAGTATTACAGTATTTTTCATTCTGTTTTGTACAACGCCAAATTTAAAAACATATTCCCCGAAAATATGTAATTTATTTCTAAACCGGTGTATTTCCATCTCCTAACATGTGGCAAGTTCTTGTGCTCCAACAGAACCCTCAAACTATTGACTATTTAACTCACAAGGCAGTAACAAAAAATACATTATTTTTTAAAACATCTTACTACTCTCCAATAAATTAACATGAGCTCAAAGATTAAGTCCAGGAGTTCCTGCTGGAGTGGTCTATATGCATGACAAACAACCAGTTATACTGGGCAACTGACACTCACAATAATATATCTATTTCCTACGAATACATGTACAAGGTATACAGACCATAGCTGACATCAACGACATGGTACTATATAGAAAGCCGCTTGTTACACTCAGCATTTCCAGCAAATTAGGTCAGTTTTGTCCCAGGATGTGACCCACACCAGTCCACTAACACCCAGGTACCCATTATACTGATGGGTCAACATAGACAACCCGTGTAAAGAAACACGCCCAAGGTTTCTACCCTGGCTGGTAATCGAACCCAGACACCTCGCCGTGCGAAGCGAGAGCTTCAGCCACCAGGCCACCAGAGCCCTCGTCCAGGCCACACACAGAATTACATGATTGTACTTACAGAACTGAAAAGATAGATTTAGTCCACCTCTAACTTCAGCTAAGGAATAATTAGAGTTAGTGCAAGACTTAACAAAATATTTTTATTTAATAATTTTCTCAATATTTTTATCTTGTTTACCTACAGTAAACAAATTATATAATTATTGTAATTACCAGTAATTTATTACCAAGCTATAAATGATCATGATTAATTAATCATAATCAAACATAACAGATGGGACATGCATATTTAGTAAGATTTAGGAATAAAATAATCGTCACTCCATTTACTTACTGCAAATAAGCTATATATACTTCCTGTGTGAATTTAATACACCGCTCAGTAGTTTAAAAATAAAATTATTTTATAAGGATAATTCGCTTGTTGGGTCAATGATAAAACATTTGCAATTCTTCGGTAATACATCTACAAGTGGATAACACTACCATTATAAGTATATTGCCCTAGTCCTCAAGACTACCTAAAAATATATATTAAAATGTTTATTAATATGTCTGGATTTTATAGCTTTCAGAGAAATAATTTCTAGTGGATGAAAACAGAAATTTAAACATAGGGCTTTCTATACCACACACACACACACACACACACACACACACATACACACACACACCACACATACACACACTCACACACACACACACACACACACACACACACACACACACACACACACACACACACACATACACACACACACACAACACACACATACACATACACATACACACACACACACACATACACATACACACACACACACATACACACACTCACACACACACACACACACACACACACACACACACACATACACACACTCTCACACACACACACACACACACACACACACACACACACACACACACACACACACACACACACAAACACACACACACACACACACACACAAACACACACACATACACACACATACACACACACACACACACACACACACACACACACACACGCACACTGGAGGACAGGAGAGGTAGGGGAGATATGATAATGACATATAAAATGGTGAGAGGAATCGACAAGATGTTCCAGAGATGGGACAAACAATGGGCCACAATTGGAATTTGGACTCAGATGAGTCACAGGGACATTAGGAGGTATTTCTTCGATCACAGAGTTGTCAGGAAGTGGAATAGTCTGGAAAGTGAAGTAGTGGAGGCAGGATCCATACATAGCTTTAAGAAGAGGAATGATAAAGCTCATGGAGCAGGGAGAGTGACGTAGAAGCGACCAGTGAAGAGGCGGGGCAAGGAACTGTGGCTCAACCCCTGCAATCATAACTAGGTGAGTACACACACACACACACACACACACACACACACACACACACACACACACACAAACACACACACAGGGAGAGTGACCTAGTAGCGATCAGTGAAGAGGCGGGGCCAGGAGCTCGGACTCGACCCCCGCAACCTCAACTAGGTGAGTACAACTAGGTGAGTACACACACACACACACACACACACACACACAACACACACAGCTAAAAGAATAAAAATACCAGCGAGTGTACCTTGAACGCATCAGAATGCCAACAAAAAGACAAACTGATAAGATACAAAGATGCAAGGGGCGAAAAAGAGAGACAAAGTTAGAGGCAGGTAAGGGCGCCCCGAGACGGGAGGACCAGCAAACACAACAACCCGTAGAACCTCCTACATAACCGTATCACCTCACCACAACCATATAAATTAACCCAAAACAAACCACATATTTCATTTACAGCCTCCACCCACCCCAGCACAAACTTCACCTGCACAATATCCTCTTATAGTATCCTGCCAGGTTTCCTGTTCCCCAAACCCCACAAATTTCCCAGAATACAGTATGTGAAAAAAGCTAAAGGTATGGTACACAACGAAGATGGAGTGGCACAACAGAATCATGGAGTCATCCCCAGACATCATAAAAGCCAAGCTCATGGGAATGATATGAAACATGATATTTCAAACTGAATATCAGATCCTGCAGAAAGACAGAGAGAACAAAGGAAAAGGAGATGCACTGCCCATCAAAAACTAGTGCAGTTTTGATGAGTTGAAAGAAATGGGGAGGAGCAAGGGACTACATAGTACGAACACTTAAGACTGGGGTCTCAAGGTAGTGATTGATTGATAGTGATGTACAGCCAACCATAGAATAGCAGGAAAGCAAGACAAGAGTATGACGAGATCAACAAAAAAATGGTGAACACACTATTGAGGTGGCCAGAAGGGCGCAAATGGATAGGTACGTGACTGGTACGTGGTGCACCACGTACCAGTCAATGCCGGAGTTTACACTATACCCTGTGGAGGCTGTGACAAGATTTACGTAGGTGAAACAGCCAGAAACCTCGACACCCGCCTCAATGAACACATTTACGCATGTAGGAACGATAACCTGAACAACGCCTGTGTACAACACCGAAATTACACCAGTCATCTCATGAAATTCAGAGACGCCCAATTAGTGATCAAAGAAACTAATTTCCGCAGACGCAAGTGCCTCGAATCAGCACTGATCGCTGTTTCGAATACAATTAAACAAAACAACGGCAGCTTCACCATCTCCGAAGTCTTAGCAAGAATCCTCCTGAAAACAGTAAACCCTGCCATCACATAGTCTCTCCTGTTATACTACACAAAGCACAGAGTGAACACTGAAACAAGCTGCCTCTTTCCAGTTTATATTTGTCCAACCTATTTTTATGTTACCCAAGTAATAGCTTTTATATCCTTTTACTCATGTACGAATTAATTGCTCTACCATATTGTATTACTTTTGTCACTACCACTACTACTACTACTACTACTACCACTAGTGAACCTCAAATTGGTACCTCACTAGTATTCACCTCACTCTGAGCCTTTATATACCCTCTGTGTCCATGTATTGTTTGTAATGGCTTGATAAAGCTCCTGGAGAGCGAAACGTTGCCACAATAAATGTCACATTAGTTGCACTTGTGTCCTTTTACTTTACATATTGTCGGTAATTCTACCAACTTTATTACAGACTGTTGTTTTCCTCCTGATGTGGCTGTACAACAGCTTCGGGTCAGATTTGGCTTTTGCTGCTATGTCATTTTCGTATTGTCGTTGAGCCTTCCTTATCTGTGCATATTCATTTCTGGCTCTACGACTGCTCTCCTTATTCTCCTGGGTCCTTTGCCTTCTATACATCTTCCATTCTCTAGCACACTTGGTTTTGGCCTCCCTACACCTTAGGATGAACGAAGAGCTCATCCTGACTTTCTCAGTTTCCTTGCATAATGTTGTCACATATTCCATCATCTCGTTTACTGACTTCCCAGCCAGTGTTCTGTCCCACTGAACCTCGTGCAGGAAATTCATGCCTGCATAGTCTCCTTTCTTGTAGTTTGGCTTCATTCGTCCTGCCCTTCTTGTATCTCTCTCCACTTGTAACTCTACTTTTTATTCGAAGCTCAGAACCTCGTGATCACTGGCCCCGAGGGGTCTATCATGTGTGATGTCCTCAATATCTGCACTACTCATAGTAAATACTAGGTCCAGTCTTGCTGGTTCATCCTCTCCTCTATCTCTCTGGTAGTGTCTTATGTGTTGGTACATGAGGCTTTCCAGTACCACCTCCATCATTTTAGCCCTCCACGTTTCTTGGCCCCCATGCGGCTCCAGTTTCTCCCAGCCGATTTTATAGTGATTGAAGTCACTCATAATGAGTAGCTTTGCCCTGCTCGCATGAGCCCTTCTGGCCGCTTCGGCCAGTGTGTCAACCATCACTCTATTACTCTCATCATATTCTTGCCTTGGCCTCCTGCTGTTCTGTGGTGGGTTATACATCACTGCAATTACCAACTTGGGACCTCCAGACTGAAGTGTTTCTATTATGTAGTCTCTTGCTTCTCCTCTGTCTCCTCTCTGCAGTTCATCAAAATCCCATCAGTTTTGATGAGCAGTGCTACTCTTCCACCCCCTCTGTTCCTTCTGTCTTTCCTCAGGATCTGATATCCTATGCATGTGTGTGTGTGTGTATTCACCTATTTGTGGTTGCAGGGGTCGATACATAGCTCCTGGCCCCGCTTCTTCTCTGATCACTACTAGATTCTCTCCCTGCTCAGTGAGCTTTATCATGCCTCGTCTTAAAACTATGTATAGTTCCTGCCTCCACTACATCACTTGCCAGACTATTCCACTTCCTGACAACTCTATGACTAAAGAAATATTTCCTAACATCTCTTTGACTCATCTAAGTCTTCAACTTCCAATTGTCACCCCTTGTTCAT